TGATCAGTTCAAAATCACTAGCTGCTCTACGGAGAAAAATAAGGCTTTCGACTTCTGTACAGAATTACTGATTCAGAAACCCACAAGGGGTGTCCTACCCTGTCCTACAGTGTCTTTATGAGCTGACAAAGACTCAACGGCAGTGGGTTGAGTATCAACAGAATTACCTTATGTCCCATGGGGATGATTTATAACACTCTATCTCATAAAATAACAAGGATGTCTCTGCCGTGAACCCAGAGTCATATATAAACTATCAATCTGTAAATGGATTTGGAGTCTGCACTTAAACTTGTAGGCTTAATCTAAGAAAAATTAGCTCTTACAACATGGTCCTTCTGGACACTGGCCTTCATGAAGTGCTCACAACGTGTGGGATATTGCAAAGTGGGGTGAAGAAACTAGATGGTGCCTGGCTATCAGGAAACATGGGCTGTGAGGTCTCAGGGCTTGTCTTCAAATAAACAGCCATCTCAATGAGGCATCAACTAAGTCCAAAAGGAAAAAGCACACCAGTCTGTGCAATCCAAGGGTTGTAAATAAAAACCAAATCTGAAGGAGGGAATGATATCAGTATTTAAATTGTGAACCCTGATTTGCATAAGACTCTTGATAACAGTGGAGGCTCCAAATCCATGTGCAGGGTCCTCAGGTCCCCCCCTGCCTGACCCTACCTGTTGAGTTCTCTCTGATCATAAAGGTCTAGAGGTGTAAATACTCTTGCGGTCAAACAGAGAGCACTGTGAAGTTGATTATGGCAGCTGTTAGGTTAAAATGTAAAACCTTATGATTTGATCTCCCTTTTGTCCCATTTTAAAGTTGTTTCAATTTTTAATGAAAAATAAGTAAGTTTAAAACAAAATAAAGTAAAACACTCCAAAGCAGAGGTAACTGCAGTAAATCACTTGCTTTTACAAATTCAACTGAACACATATTAATACATAGCAAAGGAGCTCTGGTGGCATAGTGGCTAATTTGTTATACTGCTAACACATAAGGTTGGCAGTCCAAATCTACCAGCCTTGCCATGGGAGAAAGATGAACCTTTCTGTTCCTATAAAGATTTATAACCTCTGAAAATACACAGCTGAAGAAA